TAGATAGATACAACTGAATACCTAGATAGATACAACTGAATACCTAGATAGATACAACTATGAGATTGCAAATGATCTTGGGTACGGCAGTCTACTATCCCGGGTCATTCCTCGAGAACGTAGCCCCATGGGAATACGCCCGCACCCACCCTTCTTACGGGTACTACTATAGGGGTCAATAGTATCTACTATAACAGGGTGTATTTATCTAGGCATAAGTATATAGGAACAAAACCATAGACTAGGGGGTGTAGTATAATACATATAAGGTGAGCTGTGTGTAGTCTGGAAGAGGATGTATTAATATAGTGGAAAGATACGGGGGTGAAATGTGTAATGGTGGATGCATTCTCGCATGGCTTAGAGAACCTACTCAATTAAGTCATTAACTTTTATTGTACTACGCCGTTTTATCGTGTCAATGTGGTTGATCATTCTTTCAAACCAACTATCGATCATCGGCTTGTATATAAGAACAAAACCATAGACTAGGGGGTGTAGTGCATATCATACATATAAGGTGAGCCGTGTGTAGTCTGGAAGAGGATGTATTCCAGGCAAAAGTGTAAAAGAACAAAACCATAGACTAGGGGGTGTAGTGCATATCATACATATAAGGTGAGTTGTGTGTAGTCTGGCAGAGGGTGTATTTATCTAGGCACAAGTATATAGGAACAAAACTATAGACTAGGGGGTGTAGTGCATATCATACATATAAGGTGAGCTGTGTGTAGTCTGGTGGGAGATAGATAAGCGTAAAGATACCTGCATGGGCTCGAGTGTGCTACATGAAGGGTACACCAAATAAACTCATGTTCACGTCACCGTATGGATACAGACACCAAACTCAGCGTAGTCTGTTAATCACAACAGGACGTTACTTAAGCAGAACACGCTCCGGTGTCCAATTGATGTCGGTATGAATAGTACTGGCACAGATACATGTACATAGATACATATAGGGTACACAGATACATGTACATAGATACATATAGGGTGCACAGATACATGCAGAGTGCACAGGTAAATGTACATAGTCACTTGTAGAAAGCACAGATACACGTACATAGTCACTTGTAGGGTGTACAGTTAAATGTACATAGGTATTTCTATGGTGCACAGATACATGTACATAGTTACTTCTAGGGTGCACAGATACATGTACATAGTAAATTGTAGGGTGCATAGGCACGGTACAAGGGTAGCCATGGCTACCGATCCCGATATCGATCCCGATATCGATCCCGCTATACCATCCACAGTCGGAGTACGTGTGCGCGAAGTTGTACCCACATCCGTCCCTAACCCCACTCGCCCAGACATACGCGTAGTAAGAATCTGGTACTACTTACATACATACATAGGCTTTTGAGTACATACATATATACATATATAGACAACTCCCATACCTACCTTGTTCGGCCGCCTTTGAGCCTTCCTCTTCACTCTCATCGCCTGTCTCAGACTCAGACCCCGTCCCGCTTTCGGTACCGCTATCAGAATCGGTGTCAGAGTCGGATTCGTCACTGTCACGCTTCGCTTGTTCTGCCTCGGCAAAGGCCAGGAAAGACATTACAGGTGCAGCCCTACCCATTTCCTGTAGGGTACCCGGGGGGGGGGGGGGGGGGGGGTGGTAGCAAGTTGTATAGCGATTTAGCAACGGATGTATTATATCCAGCCGACAAGCTGTATATTGAAATATTTATAAAGAATGGCATTCAAACGTAAAGCCCTCCCAAAGACATTTGCCCCGTAATCTACGATTACAATGTCCTGGTACGCATATGTGGGAAGCCCTCACCCACATACGAGTAAAGAGATTCAACACCCACATACGAGTAAAGAGATTCAACACCCACATACGAGTAAAGAGATTCAACACCCACATACGAGTAACGAGATGCAACACCCTCATACGAGTAAAGAGATGCAACACCCTCATACGAGTAAAGAGATTCAACACCCACATACGAGTAAAGAGATTCAACACCCACATACGAGTAAAGAGGTGCAACACCCACATACGAGTAATGAGATGCAACACACACGGACGAGAATTCCCCAACTGCATGTCAACCCCCACCCACAATGGACGTGGCTGTATCAGCCACGACCACTACAAACATCAGACTTTCAGACCGACCCAGCAAAAGCCATTCACTGGTCACTACGAAACTTCCAGGAACTGTCCGAGACTCACACCTGGTCCTCCTTTGCCTTTTGGGCCTTTGCTTCTTCTTTGGCAGCCTTTCGTCGGGCCTTTTTTCTCCTCTGCTTCTCCATGGCTTCTTCCGTTTTCTCTCCATTGCCAGTCACCGCAGACGCTCGCTTCCGTTTCTTGGATTTCTTGTCAGTGGTGTCTGCGAGATGAGGAAATATTTGCGTTTTTGTACGGGTATTATGGCGAGAAACTGAAAGTACCCCAGTAGGTTGGGATTTACAGCGGTACGTATATATGTATATATATATATATACATATACATATATATATATATGCATACACACACACACATATATATATATATATATATATACAAATACATATACATATATACATATATACACACACACACACATATATATATATATGCCTTTGTTGGATAAACTCCAGACCAGTTATGTCTTAGATAATGGACAGAGGCTGCGGATTTGTGTACTGTGCCGCGCTTTCTAGATCCATCTTGTCAAGCTAGCCACCTAACAGCCTTTGCACCGATACACCAATACACACATATCACCACAATTCAGTACCTTGCTTATCCGTACACTCACACCACAATTCAATACCTTGCTTATCCGTACACTCACACCACAATTCAATACCTTGCTTATCCGTACACTCACATCACATTTATTCCGAGGACGTCCGCCTGAAAGGCGATATAATTCTAGGCACACTTTGAGTGAGATATCAGTTCATACAATCTCGCCCAAACAGTCAAACAACTGCCTGTCACGCTCATTCAAAACGCTCACGGATTACAAAGAGTTTAGTACTCCGGAAACGGACGCCAGTCTTACCAATACTGGCCTAAATTCAGTCATGGAGGATTGGAGAATATGGAACGACAGTTGGATATACCTGTATTAATAACTTCACCATAGCATATACCCGTATTGATAACTTCACCATAGCATATACCCGTATTGATAACTTCACCATTGCATATACCCGTATTGATAACTTCACCATTGCATATACCCGTATTGATAACTTCACCATTGCATATACCTGTATTGATAACTTCACCATTGCATATACCTGTATTGATAACTTCACCACTGCATATACCTGTATTGATAACTTCACTATTGCATATACCCGTATTGATAACTTCACCATTGCATATACCTGTATTGATAACTTCACCATTGCATATACCCGTATTGATAACTTCACTATTGCATATATATACCTGTATTGATAACTTCGATCACATTCTTCTGCACCCCAACCATCACAGGCAGGTTCTGAGCCTCCAATTCCGTTCGTTTGGCCAACTCACGCTTCGTTTCCTTATTTCGGCCCATTTGCGCCGATCTCTGGAACAGCACCATCTGGTCCGCAGACAATTGACTGTCAGCCAGAGACTGTATCAGACCGGCGCGCTCTTTCTTCTTCTTCTTCTTCTCCACAACCTGTGTAGTTTGTTAAGTCCAGGCTTGTGAATAGAGATACCCGATGGTTAACAGTTGAATAGAGACAGGTGTATGCGGAAGTTTGAATAGAGACTGGTATAAGTCACAGAAACACGCAGAGTGACAGTGGAGGGTAGTTGCATCCGCGGCCAAGTACACATATGCAGATATATAAACAGATACAAAACATAAAAACATATTTTATGTTAC